TTAAAATAGCAAAATCAGAAATACTATAGCAGCATCTAAAACCTTTCCATTCAAGTAGATCTACCCAGTTAATTGCCAGAAAAGGAAGTGACGATCGAAAATGTTTCTTTCCAAAGAAAGGTTTTACATGTGTACGATGTTTACGTGTTCTGATTTTTCTATTACCAAGCCCTATATATTAAATCATTGATAACTATGTTGCGTGTTTTCAAAAAAACCAAAACAATTATGGGTTAATTGTTTATTTTTTTATCTTTTTAATTTGATTTAAATTTCATTTTTTATTTTTATTATTTTAATTTAAACAATTCAATTTTATTTAGCACATGATAGTTTTTTGAGTAAAATATCAATAAATCTCAAAATGTGATCTTGCGAACTGTTTAGTCTTCCATTTTTTCTAATGAACCTAAAAGTCCCATTAAAGTGAAAAATACAAAAAAAGTGTGGTTTAATTTTCTAAAGATAAAAGTGGGTTTTTTTAAATGTAAAATTACACATTTGGACAATTCGCATGATAGATGTTTTGGATTTTCCTTCCTAGATCAAATCTCACATTACGAAAAAAATCTAATACCGTAATGTAACACTAACGTAACATCCAATGTAAAACACTAAAAAACTCTTTGGTGCACTTTTTTCAAACATAACAACGTAACACTCTAAAAGAAAATTAATTAGTGTACTTTTTCTAAACCTAACACTCCAATATAACACATAAAAAGAACTCCTTAGTGTTTTTTTTTTTCCAAACGTAACATTCCAATCAATATAATCCCAAATGTAACACTCCAATGTAACACACAAAAATACTAAAAAATTCCTTAATATAATTTTTCAAAACGTAACACTCACAATTTGAAATTATACATTTGCTCAAAACTTACTAAGGAATTTTTGCACTTCTTTTGGAATAGTTTGAAAAATCTCACATCCTTCTGGAATGATTTGAAGAATCTCATATCATTTTTTTGGAGTGTTACATATGGGAAAAGTACACAAAAGAGTTTTTTTTACATGTTACATTGGAATGTTACATTAAGAAATTTTTTTAGAGTATTATATTTGAGTGTTACATTTGGAAAACGTATATTAAGACTTTTTTTTGTTTTTAGTGTTATATTAAAGTGTTACGCTTAAGTGTTATATGAGAGTGTTACAATTTGAAATTATACATTTGCCAAAAGTTTACTAAGAGATTTTTGTACTCCTTTTAAAATATTTGAAAAATCACACATCCTTTTAGAATGTTTGAAGGATTCCACATTTCAAGTCATTTTTGTACTCATTTTGATATATTTTCCAAATAAAAAAAATTTCATATAAAAATTCATCCCAAATTTGATTCTCATAGATTGTGTACATTACATTTCTATCATAAAAGAAAAAAAAAATGAGAAAGAAACATAATAAGGGTATAATTGTGAATTTAATTTCTAAATAATATATTAAATCTATCTTTCCAAAATCAATAAGACTAATTAATCTATAAGAAAATCCTTGGGACTAAATAGATTATCATTCCTCAAAATGGGATTTATAGATAAATTTTTCTAATTTTTTATAATAATTTTATTAATATTACAATATTATAAATTTTATCTCAAATTTTACTAAAAAATATTAATATGCAATTTAGACCACATTATACTTCAGTCGCTACCGTACGACACAATATCACATTTTCACTCGCTACCTACCAGCCCTTTGAACCCAGCAATAGTCACACATAAACCAACGGTTAGAATAAATTTTCTTTTACTTTTCCTATTCAAAATTATTAATCAATTATCCTAGATTATGAGAGTTTTCAAAACTTAATTTTATCTTTATATTTGTTAACACCATAAATCTGCAATTTTTTTTATTATTTATTATTTATATAATTGCAGGACACGTGGCATCCTCTTATTCATTTGGAAGTTAAAAGAAGTTATAGAGATAATGGAGAAAATGAAGGACAAAGTGGATGAGTGGGAGGACAAAGTGGATGAGTGGAAGGACACATGGCAAGACAAGAATGAAGATGGAAGAAATGGGTAGTTACTAAGTAGTTATTGCTGTATTTTTTCTTCTATAAATAGCCATTAATGGCTACATTGTAAAAGGATCCAGAACTTAAATCAAAGACAATTGATTTCAATATTTCTTGTCATTTTCCTTATCTTAGGAGTAGTTTAACATAGATTTATATTTCGAAGCATTTATTTTCAGCAAACAATGTAATTTATTAATATTTGTTATTATAAATTTGGGTGAAATATTAATAAATCTCAAATAATGATTTCATTAATTGTTTGGACATCATTTTTTCTTATAAACCCAAAAGTCTCATTCAAGTGTGAATTATATCAAGAGGCAAGCATAAACGCACGTGTGTTATGTACTGAAGGATAAATGTGAATTCTCTCATAATGTTGAAATTACTAAACGTAACACTTTAAAAATTTCTTAGTATATTTTTTCCAAATATGACACTTTAAACACTTATAACACATAAAAAAATTCTGTAGTGTACTTTTCTCAACACTCCAATCAATATAAAACACAAAAACTCCTGAATGTATTTTTCTCAAAGTTAACACTTCAATATAGCACAGTAAAAAACTCCTTAGTGTACTTTTTTCAAACGTAATAACGTAGCATTCTAAAAGAAACTTCATAGTATATTTTTTTTCAAACGTAACATTCCAATCAATATAATCTCAAATGTAACACTCCAATGTAACACACAAAAATACTAAAAAATCCCTTAATATAATTTTTCAAACGTAACACTCACAATTTGAAATTATACATTTGCTCAAAACTTACTAAGAAATTTTTGCACTCCTTTTGGAATAGTTTGAAAAATCTCACATCCTTCTGGAATGATTTGAAGAATCTCATATCTTTTTTTTGGAGTGTTACATATGGGAAAAATACACAAAAGAATTTTTTTTACATGTTACATTGGAATGTTACATTAAGAAATTTTTTTGAAGTATTATATTTGAGTGTTACATTTGGAAAATGTACATTAAGACTTTTTTTTTTTTTTTTTTTTAGTGTTATATTAAAGTGTTACGCTTAAGTGTTACAATTTGAAATTATACATTTGCCAAAAGTTTACTAAGAGATTTTTGTACTCTTTTTAAAATATTTGAAAATCACACATTCTTCTGGAATGTTTGAAAGATTCCACATTTCAAGTCATTTTTGTACTCATTTTGATATATTTTCCAAATAAAAAAAAATTCCATATAAAAATTCATCCCAAATTTGGTTCTCATAGATTGTGTACATTACATTTCTATCATAAAAGAAAAAAAAAATGAGAAAGAAACATAATAAGGGTATAATTGTGAATTTAATTTCTAAATAATATATTAAATTTATCTTTTCAAAATCAATTAGACTAATTAATCTATAAGAAAATTTTTGGGACTAAATAGATTATCATTCCTCAAAATGGGATTTATAGATAAATTTTCCTAATTTTTTATAATAATTTTATTAATATTACAATATTATAAATTTTATCTCAAATTTTACTAAAAAATATTAATATGCAATTTAGACCACATTATACTTCAGTCGCTACCGTGCGACACAATATCACATATTCACTCACTACCTACCAGCCCTTTGAACCCAGCAATAGTCACACATAAACCAACGGTTAGAATAAATTTTCTTTTACTTTTCCTATTCAAAATTATTAATCAATTATCCTAGATTATTAGAGTTTTCAAGACTTAATTTTATCTTTATATTTGAATGTTATATTTGGTTTGAATTTGTAAATCATGATTCTAAATCAATTTCAAAATACATTTTGAAAACATGTTTGGTGAAGCAAAACAATTTTTGAATTTTTGGTCTATCCGCCGGATGTCCAGCCAGTTGGCCAGAATAGTACAATTTTTTTTTTTGTGCAATTACCAATTGTCACCTGTTATTTGAAAAAAAAAGTGTATATTTGTTTTTGATATTTTTAAAATATACAAATTATTTTTTTAGATCAAAATGACCAATTATTTTTTTGAATTGAATTTTAAAAAGAGCTTTGTTATGAATTTTGAATAGAATTTTGAATTATGTGTTTAGTTATTAGTTATAAGTTTTTGAATTAAGTTTTCAATTTTGAGTTATGTTTTTGAATTTTGAGTTATGAGTTTTGAAAATTCTTTTCAAAACTCATAACCAAACAACTTTTTTCATTTTGTATATCACATCAAAAATTCAAAACTCATAACCAAACAAATTTTCTCTTTTCAAATCATAATTCCAAAACTCACAAACTCAAAAGGTTTGTTTGGGGTGTCTTAAATAAGGGCACTTTTTGTCTTTTTGTATTAAAAAGTAGAGGGAAAAAATATGAATGTTTTGGTTAACTTTTGACTTTTTATGGAAAAATGTGTATTAAAAAATTGTATAAAGAAGTGTGCAGAAGAAGATTAGAGATCTGTGTTGTATAGTCGTACAATTTGCACAGCCGAATTTATGGTAATAAATTATGGGCTATTTTGCAGGCATTGCCCTAGACGGTTTTGTTCGGCCCGTGGGGGCCATCACGGGTTCCATTTTGATAATCTGAACCGTGCAATGTGTAGAACTTGTCGAGCACTATATGCCTCTAAAAAATTACGTTGATCGGATATCAATAGCTATCTGATTAGGTTTGTTTTTTTTTCAATCGTTAATTATAACACCATCATTTGTTTTTACAAAACTGATTTGATCATGTAGTTATCGATATCTTATCAATGTAATTTTTTACAGACATATAGTACTCGACGAGTTCTACACATTGAATGGTTAAGATTATCAAAACGGGACCTGTGGTGGGCCCCTATGGGCCGAACAACAGTGTGTGAAAATTGCACCCAAACTGTGCAATGTTTCTTAATAAAATTGCTGAGTTGTACTTTTGTGTAAAAAATTAATTTTTTAATATTTTTTTTGAATAATGATAACTTTTTAACTTTTTGAGTAATTTTTTAATTTTTTATCTTTTTGAAGAGATGTCAAACTTGACCAAAATATAACTCTATTCTCAAATCATAATTATAAGACTTTATCAAAAAACTACCATAATTTCTCCACCACACTAGTTTGGAAGCTGTATGACAGTTGACGATATAAAAACACTAAAAATTCCCATTCTCCATTGCATCAGACACTTGATCCTCGAAGAGAAAATCTCAAACTATCATCCATCAATGGCTTCCCCGTTTGACATTGACGTGTGGAACTTCGTCAGCGACAGTCTCACCGGAAACAACTACCAACAATGGAGACAACAAATGCACAACCTCATTGAAGAACACGGCTTGGTTGGTTTCATCAACGGCACTATTGAGGCTCCACGTGAGAATCACTCTGAGCGTGAGCGTGAGAATTACAGGTCCTGGAAAAGATCAGACGACGTGTTACAGAAATGGATCCGAACCACACTTTCCAAAGGCATATGCAAAGAAGTAAAAAACTTCAAAACTGCTAAATGGTTGTGGGAAATGTTAGAGAAATGGTTCGGTAAGCCAATTATCATCACTTCTTCAACGGCTTCTTCTTCTTCTTCCTCAAGAAATTCCTCATCTAATATTGTGGAATACCCAATAGTGCCGTTTGTGAAGAAAGGTCTGTCAGTCTCTGAAAACAATTACTCGGAGTGGAGACAACAGATGTACAACCTAATTAAGAGTGAAGGATTGGTGGGTTGGGTCAGCGGCGCGGTTGAGACTCCAGCGATGGAGAACAAGGATTACAGCTCATGGAAAAGATCAGATGCTCAACTACGGGAATGGATCGGATCTACGCTGTCCAAAGATATACCCGAACAAGTGGTGCAGAGTAGAACTGCTAAAGAGATGTGGACCAAGTTGGAGGAAATTTTCGGTATGCTCAACCTTACACCTACTTTTCAACCATTAATACTATATATCCATAATTTTAACTCAGAAACGTCAATGTCTTTAAATTTGTTTTGTCTACAAATTTTATTATATATAATTTAAATTTCAACCACACTTTTCCATTGATGGTAGTTATCTTTTGACAATTTTTCTGAGTTCAATGTAAATAACGGGTGATGCTAACAAAAATAAGAGGTCATGTTAATTACGGGAGATTAGTGACAAAAAAATTAAAATCTTAATATAAATTTTTACACATTTCAATATTTTTTATGCATTTTAATTTAATTATTTTTACTTGTTTGCCAACATTAATGATAACTAGCATTTGGTTACGTTGTGAGTAAGGGTAGGCATTCGTCGGGTCGGGTCAGTTCGCTACTACATAATAAGAGACTTTGCATTTGTCCAATTCCGACCTGGCCTAACATCGGGCCTCAACATTTACCCAAACCTGACTTAAAAAATAATTATAAATCCCAAGTTCAATTGGGTTATATGTTAAAAATTTAAAACATTTTATAATTAAATTCAATCATACATTATATTTATTAAATAAGTATATTGATATCATTATAAATTGAAATTTTTTTTTGTGTAAATTAAAAGATTTTTTTAAATAAATTCAATCATGCATCACTGTAAATGTGAATTCCAAAAAATCAACAACGATAAAGTTTAGATCCCAAAAGTATATATATTTTAATAAAATTAATTAATTAAATAGTGGTTCGGGCCAGACCGAGCCAAGCTGAGTTGAAAATATAAATCTCACATATCAGGCCAAAAATGTTCCCTGGCCCTATGGGATAAGATAACCTTTTCAAGCCCTTAAAAAAAAAAGGATTAGGCCAGGCAACCAACGGGCCGATACCCACCCCTAGTTGTGTAGTTACGCATTGGTGGTTGATGTTATAAAACTTTATACTCCATCCGTTCCAAAATATTAGTCCCTTATTCTATTTTTCATTGTCCCAAAATATTAGTCTTTTTTCAAAAATCAAGAACTAAAATAATATGAATTTCCTATTTTACCATTCTTTTAAATTCATTAACAACACAAAAAATACAATTATGATAATTGATATTCTCCAAAAAAAATGTACTATCAAAGGGTAATTTTTAAAAATTAATTTTTTTAAAGTATAATAATTATACTATTAAAAAAAGTTAAATTCTCCAAAAGAGACTATTATTTTAAGACGAAAAGAGTTGTAAATTTATACATTTTGTGTTAAGATAGCATTTTCCAATAGATAGAAATACAGGTACATATTCAATTGTAATAAAAATAAATAATTAAATAAAGGGTAACTACCCTTTTCACATCCAAATTTTGACTTAAATTTTACTTCCATCACTCATCTTGTAATTACAACAATTAAATTATCAAATTTAAACTCTAGTTTCAATGTGATTCTCCTATCACTCCATATAAGCGAAAGTCAAAATATAAAGGGACTAAAAAAGTAAAATTTGGATGAAAGTTGGAGGGTAAAAGTAAGAACTTCAAATCATTCACTTGTCGTCCTTGTTCAATCTCATCCCATGAGATTCACAATAGACATTAATAATAATAATAATAATAATAATAATAACAATAATAATAATAAATGAAATTAAGACTTGTAATCTTTAAAATATGTATTTTGTATCCCTTTAGACACACAAAACTTACATTTAAAATTTCAAGAATGAAATTAAAATTTAAATACCAAAGTGGCACAAAAACATACTTCAGGAACTTTTGTCCATGTTTTACCCAAGGCATTTAAATATGAAGAGTAGGATTTCCAAACGGCGGTGCTACATGTCCCAATTAGTGTACGCATTAATGTATCAACTGGTGTTATGTCATTATTATTGGTCTCATTTCTTAAACAAATTACAAATATCCAAAACTTCAAAAATTATGCCACATCATCTGTTAGTACACTAGTTAGTACATTAATTAGTGCATATAACATTATTCTTTTCCAAAACAACCTCTTCTAGTGATCTGGGACTAGAGGCCAAAACAATAACCTTCTATTAAAGAGTGGAATGTCTCTATCATTATTAGACAAATGATACATCTCCTAATTTTAGAGTTCTAATGATGCGGCAGAGAATAAAAAAAAATTAAATCAATGCCAAAATATCACACCACAATTGAAAATAAAATTAAGGTCCACTCCCATTAGAGCTCTTTTATTAAAGCTCCCAAGGGAGCATTTGTATGTGTCACCAATGAGATGGCATTCCACATCACAAATGGAAATTAAGCTCTAGCTGGGCTTCATTCATCTATCTAATGGAAATAGGCTATGTTCTTTCAGACCCAACAGATGATGTAATTCTAGGTTCGTCCTTGTGCCATAATGTAAAAAGTGAATTTGAAATGCACATTATTTATACCTAACATCGAAAATTTGAGAATTCCTTGGGCAGGTCATTATGTGCCACTGCACAAAGCAGCAACCAAAGGCGACTGGGCGACAGCCAATGAATTTATAAAACGAGAACCAGATATTGCAATCAGGGCTGGCATAACAGAAGAGTCCGAAACAATGCTCATAGTTGCGGTGAAGTCGAAGCGAAGAAACAATTTTGTGAAGAAACTAGTGAAGCATATGTTACCAGAAGATCTAGCTCTTGGTGACACCAGAAAAAGGACAGCACTCCACAGGGCTGCAGGAGCTGGCAACATTGAGGCTGCCAAACTGTTAGTGGAAAAGAACCCGTACCTGCCAAATGCTCAAAACTACGATAAACAAATTCCTTTGTTTTATGCAGCTGCTCGTGGGGATAGAGAGATGTGTCTTTACTTGTTAAGGGTCACTACTATAAATGATGATGATGAGACAAAGGGTACCACCAGTCATTTGTCTCAATTCTTGTCTCGTTCTCTGACTAGTGCCAATCACTTATTGCAATATTCTCAAAATCCAAAACTAATGGAGGATGGTAAGGGGAAAGGGATAGATGATCTCTGGTGGAATCCTACACCGTTTGACGGTGAATCAGGTTTTAAAATTTTGCGTCAGCTGATCAATAGTGGACTTAATGGTGAGTACGTTGTTAACACGATAGGAGAGTTTTAAACTAGAATATATAACTTAATTTCAATTAACTAACTGTTATTTTCATTTTTGTTAATCCTACAGACATTGCTCTAGCTTTGCTTCAAGACAAACCTAAGTTAGCATTCTTCATTCCGGAGAAAGAAAATCATCGTCTTGACCAGAATTTTCTTATGGCAATTGCTCAAAAGCCTTCTTCATTCCGAAGTGGAGCATCCTTCAACTTCTTCCAAAACAAAATCTATTCGTGTTAGTGTATTTGGCCTCTTCACTCTCCTCTCTATGCATTACCTATTCTGCAATTTTTCTCTATTGCTGATTTATTTATTTAATTTTGGGTTACACTTAACATTCATTTTTATTGAAATTAATACACTTTTTTTTTTTTACTACTTTCACGTATTTTCAAAACATTTCAGACTTTAATTTCAATATTAAACAATGTTCCAGCAACACTCTTTATCACTTATCATATAATAACTTTTTTTTTTTTTTTTTTTTTTTTTTTTTTTTTTTTTTTATTAACAAAAGAAAAGAAACTTTATTGATGAAACAGAAACCTATTACATCAATACAAGAAAAGAAGGATGAGTGCAAAAGATTTAATCGAGTTGGTGAGAGCCAACCACAACATCAAAAACAACCTCATCCAATGAAGAACTAACCATACCTGATACGGACCAAACACCCAAAACACCCAAAACAACCAAAAAGCATAAACATAGAGAGATAAACAAACCAAAACATATTGACAGAACAAAGCTTGAGAAATAAACAAACCACCACAGAGTAGAAACTTTGACAGACCAAACCTGCCCCACACCTCACTCCTTTTATTAGTAGCCCATAGCCCAGCACCTCACTCCTTTTATTAGTAGCCCATAGCCCAGAACCAGTACAAATTAGATTAGCCCAGCAAGACAAACACCCCAACCGTCCACACTGCAGCAGCTCAGGCTAACAGAACAATTCAGCCAGCTTATTAGTTATTTTTAGAAGGCTAACAAAACAATTTAGACTTTTTTAGTTATTTTTAAATGACTAGGGTCAAGTATTCTAAGGTCAAATAATATTGGATAAAGTGAATTTTGCCCTAAAATTTAAACAAACCGCAGTCATGAACTTAATACAAGAAAGTCCAAAAGACTAACCTAGACAAAACTCTATAACTAGTGTGGAGCTAATGCAATTCGTGAGTTTATGGTACTAGTAAAGAAACATCTCTAACCTCTACATGAATAAGAGATAAAATTTCTATATTTTTCAAGTCCATATAAACTACCCAAAAAAAAAAAAAAAAAAAAAACACATTTGGAAAGAAGTTTTTTTTGGTTTTTTAGGTTAAAAATAGTATTAGAAGACAAAATAAATTAAAATAATTAATAAGACAAAATATCATATCAAATCCATAATCATTTTACTTTTTCTCTCACAAATATTATATTCAATTACAAAAAAATTCAATCGTCTTTCCAAACTCAACTATTTTAACCTATGAAAATAATCAAAAACTAAAATAGTTTATGAAAATAGCCAATTTCTCAAACAAGGCCAGTAAAGATTGGGAATTTTGTGAACAAGCATAATAATGATTCAAATACAAATTTAAGATACGTAAATGTTAATTCTCCCTTAGCATCATTAACAATGATCCATCAAAACAATCAAGCCTTTCACAAGCCTGAAAGTAACTGTTATTTTCACTTCTTTTTTCAGGATGCTACAATTAAATCCTATATATAAGAATTGATCATTTAGTGTGTGATTCAAAGATGATAATGTTCTTAAGGGATTGTTTGAGGTATTCTAAATAAGTATACTTTTTGATTTTTATAAAATATGAGTTAGGTATGAATTAGATTTAAAGTGATATGATAGAGAGATAGTTTTTAACTTTTTAATTTTATTAGAAGATGACAAATAAGGCCTAAATATGCAAAAAAAAAATATCACAAGAAACACTCACCTTCTTTGATGGTTGAGGCTGAGAAGCAAAAGATGAATCTCTGACACATTTGGATCACCAATCAAATTATTCCCAAACACAACCACCGCCTCAAGAAGCCAATCTACCACCGCACTGCCACCGGGACTTCCGGTTCACAATTTGCCTCAAAGACTCGTTGGACCACACAATTACGTGTTTGAAATCCGCTCAATTTCTGATTGGGTCGGGTCTCGAACTCATTTGGGGTGGTGAAGAAGAGGACGTATGAGGCGACGCTTAGGGTGGCTGAGGAGGGCGAGCGGCGTAGGAGTTCATTCGATTCAATCATAATCGCCTCAAGAACTTGGACGGGACTTGTGGTTTCGAGAAATTATTTGGTCGTCATACAACAATACTTTAATTATTTACATTGTCACACTTATTTAATAAATTTTTAAAAACCAATAAAAAAATAAAATTTATTATCTAAATTAATAATAAAAAAAATTAGGACTCTAATAGATTCCCTTCGTCCAAATCAAAGGCCAAAATATTAAATTGATAAGGATAAACTCACACAAAATAGTAAAATTATCTTATATATATATATATATATATGTGTGTGTGTGTGTGTTTATTTTCGTTTGAAAAATGAGTTGATTTTTTTGATTTTTTAATTATTTTAGTTTGGGATTAAAAAGTTTCGTTTGGGATGAATTTTTTGATTTTTGAATTTTTGAATTATTTTAGTTTGGGATTAAAAAATCTCATTTGGGATGAACTTTTTGATTTTTTAAACTTTTGTAAAAGAAATAATATAATGATTATGAGTTGAAAGTGATATTTTATCTTATTAAACTAAAAAATTTATTTATTTATTTATTTATTTTGACTAAAGTAATCTCAAATCCAACCCAACCCAAGTTGTCTTGCCTTTTGACTTTTTGATTTTTTTAGGCCGAGTTTGGCATATTGCAAAAAAGTCAAAAAGTCAAAAAGTTACTTAAAAAATTAAAAAGTTAACACTATTCACCAAAAGTTAACAATTACGACTGCACAACTCTCAATCTTAATTTACTCCCAATCCTAATTTTCTCCTACAAATCAATTTTTACAATTTTTTATTTCACATTTTTTCATAAAAAAGTCAAAAAATTAACCCAAACATCTATATTTTTTTCCTCAATTTTTTAGTTCAAAAAGATAAAAAGTATACTTATTTACGACACTCCAAACAATTCCTTAATCTGGGTTAAAAAGTCTCTTTTGGAAAGGACTTTTAACTTTTTAACTTTTTTGTAAAGGAAAAAAATATAATAATTATAGGTCAAATATGATGTAAAAAATCTATTTTAACTTTTCTGACTATCTTAACTAAAAAAATGCCCAACTTTTTTCTTCCCAACTTTTTTCTTACTATGTTTTATCATATATTTTGCTAGTGTTACGTATCATAAAAAAAAATATCATGAAAGATTCTTTATCATAAGATTACACATACAAAAAAAATATCACACCCTAATCAAAAGAAAAAAAAATTTCATAACATTATTTTCATAATCCCTAATATTATTGATTTTGCAAACCAAAGCCTAGAGCAGCCGCTCTCATCTCTCACCCGCTCGTTTATATATATATATATATATATATCTCATGACATCAGTAACAAGTCTTAACATTTCCCAAGGCCGTTGGTAATTTAGCAAAGTGTTACATTTGAAAAAAATGATATATTATTTTTGTGAATTCGAAAAAAATTGTAAATATTTCTGGAACTGTGAATAAAACGGTTAGTTTTTAGTTTTTAGTGTTTTTTTTTCCCTTAATAAAACAAGTTCACATATAGACATATATGGAATCTCAGGAATAGATGGAGAGATTCTAAAACGTGGAAATAAGTCAATAAGAAAAGGTAAAATAAACAAAAAAAACGTATGAATAGATCAGGAAAAATCAGACAATTGACAGCTACGAAGCACAGAACAATGGAGTAAAAACAGATAACCAATTTCAAATGATGAAAATGTCACCGCAGATAGAGAGAGAGAGAGAGAGAGAGAGAGAGAGAGAAATGATTGTCTTCGTCACGGAGAGGTGAGACGGAGCGCAAGGCGGGGCGTGGGGCTTGGGCTTCCAGCTTTCTTATTTTTGGATTTTTGGATAAAGTTTTGTTTAGTTTTTTAAACATGATTTGGATTAAAAAAAATATATATATATTTAAATTGTTTGGTTAACAAATTTTTAAAATACAATTTAAAAGCTCAATTTTTTCTCCCCTCTCCTTTTCCTTTTTTTATTATTATTTATTATTAATAAATCTATTAATCACTTTTGTATGCTCTTTCATTCTCTTACATTATACATATCAATCAATTAAATTTTTTTTACATCTATCTATTCAACAAAATAAATTAAAAAAATTACAAATCATTTCAAAATTATTATCAAAATTCATAGTCAAATAAATTTTTAACTTTTAAAACTTTTTTAACAGATAGTCAACAAATGTCAACAGATAAATTAAAGGGTAAAATTGGAAACAAAATATTTTCAAAACAAATATAAGGACTTCTCACCAAACTATTTCACAAGGGTGGATTTCTCACCAACAAAAAATATTCACTAGACCTAATACATTATGTCCTCGTTAGCTTGGATTTATCGCCAATTTATTCAAAAATAAATAAATAAATTATTAATTAACATATTAAATGTGCTTGCCTCAAATCCACCACATAATTTCCCAAATAAATTAGGAATTTTGAAATTTCTAATTTTTATTTAAACTTCCAAATGGTTACATTTTTTTTTAAATGAGATTTTTTATGTGATTTCAGTTGCATAAGTAATCATGATTTAGTTTCTTATTTACCGTTCATTAAAAATAATAAAATGGGATTACAGGCATTAGGTATTTAGCACTAGGAATGAAGTAGCTTCAATTTGACATTTTAATGAGATGATAGATAAATTCTGTCTAAATGATAAAAGCTTGAAACTGAAGCCTTTCAAAGTAAATGTTTCAACACAAAACATCCTTCAAACTCAGTCTTTGAATGAAATTGTCAAAACAAAAATGATTAAGACTATCTCAAAATTGGGTAAGAATTGGGAAAAAGTCAGGAAAAATGACAAAAATCGAAATTATTTTTTATTTCTTTCATTTTTTTCGTTCTTTCTATTCATAAATCTCTCTTTAAATGTAAAATCCAAACACAATTTAAAAAATTACTAGACATTTGTTCATCACCATTGTTTTTCCTCTCCGTTTTTGACAGATTTAGTATCATGTACAGTGAAGAAAAGATTTCATGCAACCTTTTGGGAAGTCATAGAAAATTTTGGTAAG